TAATGTTTCAGATTAATATTTAAATTTATTCTAATATCCATCCATCCATCATCTAAACCGCTTATCCTTCTGGGTCGCAGTGGGGTGCTGGAGCCTATCCCAGCTGTCATTGGGCGGAAGGCAGGAAACACCCTGGACAGGTTGCCAGTCCATCGCAGGGCAGACAGACAGACATACACATTCACACCTAGGGGCAATTTTAGCATGTCCAATTGGCCTGACTGCATGTTTTTGGACTGTGGGAGGAAACCGGAGTACCCGGAGGAAACCCACACAGTCACGGGGAGAACAGGCAAACTCCACACAGAAATGACCCTGGTCACCCAGCCGGGAATCAAACCCAGGCACTTCTTGCTGTGAGGCGACAGCGCTACCCACTGCGCCACCGTGCCGCCCTTATTCTAATATGTTAGTTCAAATAAGCAGGATGAATAGAGCTGTAGATGATTCTAAAATGACTGAGAGAGCTTTGAAATAATGAGAATAAAGTTATAATAACATCCAATTTTCAAAAGTAGAGATCAAGTGTCAAAGCAGACAACTATTTGTTATGTGTCAAATATTGAGTAAAACATCATAATCTTTTTGGTGAATAGTTAGTAATATTACACACTATATAAGTTAATACTGTGTATAAAATTGCAAAAAAATGTTAAAGTGATTCTAAACTTTTGAATGCTGTGTGTATCGTAAATTAATTTAAATATCTGAAATTAGAAAGGAGTCTAGTTGTTCCATTACTGCACTGCACGAATCTGAGCCAGCCACTGATATTTTAGATATATGTATATGTGTGTATATATATATATATATATATATATAGATAGATATATTTATATATATAATATATAGTATATATATATATATATATTATATATATATATATATATATATATATATATATATTTATATATATAGAAAGTGTGCGGTTGTGCGGCTACATGTAAACTGTGAAAGATCCTTTCAATCACAGTAGGGATGGAAATGTCTGTTGTCGTCACCCCTTTGAACAGAATCTTTCAGGAGAGGAGCGCTGAGAAGTCTGTTCCGCTATCCGTTCTTTTGTGTGCGCTGTGAGGTGCTGCTTTGTGTGCAGAGATATGTGTTAAGAGAAAAAAACTTCACCCGTTATGTTCCGTCACACGCAGTGAATTCACACCTGGAGCAGGTGCAGCAACAGGCTACAGCTCCACCATGTGAACACAGATTGAAGAGAGAGAGAGAGAAAGAGAGAGAGAGAGAGAGAGAGAGACAGAGAGCACAGACACACAGTGAAGGGGATGCAGTAGTGCAGTGGTGTCCTGGGAGAATGTGACTGTAGCCCTGTTCATATATTACAGGCTGCTGCTTCATCAGTGCAGCCTCAGAGCACACAAACGAGCAGCCACCAGCACACCTGCTGCTGCCCTGCTGCACCCAAACTGAGAAACAGGCCTGCTGTTTTGAGTCATTCTCGATATACAGCTGGTCCAGAATCAGTATGATCTCACAGTTCAGTTCTAGTTGGTTCAGTTCTGTTCAATTAATTTCATTGTAGTTCAGTTCCATTCAATTCAGTTCCATTCCATTCAATTCAGTTCTGTTCTGTTCAGTTCCCTTCCATTCAGTTCAGTGCAAATCAGTTCCATTCAGTTAAGTTAGTTTAGGTTAGTTTAGTTTGGTTTAGTTCACTTCAGTTCTGTTCAGTCAGTTCAATTCAGATCATTTTCATGTAGGTCAGTTCAGTTCAGCTCAGTTCAGACAAGTTCAGTTTAGCTTCATTTCATTCAGTTCAGTTCAATTCAAGTCAAACCTAACTCAGTCTCAGCCTCAGCTCCACCCACAGATGTACGTGTTCAGTTTAATTCAGTTTATCTCAGTTCAGTTCGTCAATTCAGATCATTTCAGTTCAACTCAGTTCAGGTCAAGTCAAACTTAACCTAGTCTGAGCCTCACATGTACATGGATTGTCTGTTGTATGCCAAGATGGCCTTATCTGTCAGGATTTTGTCAGTTGTGTTGTCATTAGTTATCTGCAGTGCTGTGTGCACATTTCCGTGCGCTGGTTTTCAGTCCCGCAGGAGACAAACTTTTGTGTATCAGTCAAATGACTTTTCCAGTCAAAATAGGTGGATCCTGGTCACGCTGAGTGATGAAACCCAGCTATTGTACTCAAAACTTTTTAGACAGATATTTTGAACACTTTTTCATTTACAAAAATGTGTATGGGAATTTCCACACTGTGTGTGTGTGTGTGTGTGTGGTAGAGTTCATGTATAGATTTCTATGTTAATACACAAGTGTTAGCTACTGTGTATCCAAAGACAAATTCCTTGTAAGTGCAGACATACTTGGCCAGTAAAGCCTTTCGGACTCTCAAGCAAAACCCTACCCCCTAACCCATACCCTCACCTACTTTAGCCTAAATTGGTTAAATTTAGCCTGGAAATTTGTTCGCCTTCAATTGACTCAATTCTGTAAGTCACCATTTTCTATGCAAAACACAATTTAGCACAGCCAGTGATGTGTAAACAACAAACATGTAATAGAAAATGAGAATTTCAGTAAAACACATGGCTGTAAGTTTGTTGGTATGAAGATTAGCTGCCGGTGCTGGAGTCTTCTTTGACTTTGTTAGCAGTGACATTGCGAAATTCGCCTGAAGAGTTCAACACAGCATCAAGGTTAGGACTTAGGGTGGCTTTGTTGTTCTTGCAAATGTATTCATATAAAATCCTCTAGAATCGCCCTTGCTTGTTAGAACCCATACGAGATGTTTGCCAGGTCAGTTTGGGAGAGCAGTAACCTGTCAGATTCTCTCAGATATCTCATAAAGGGCGTGAGGGGCAACTCATTTACGTTTTTGCTTCTTGAACTTTTACTTCTCTTTGGTTTAACAAACAATTACTATTTCAGAGGTTTCTGGCTGGGCATGCACGAGTCACTCATTCAGAAGGATTTTCAAGCAGATTTTCTTGCTCAAAAACCAAAGGTGTCTTCCAAAGCTTTTTGAGAGTTGCCGCCTGTCCTGTGTGGGTCCAAGGTTAGTCCGACTTCTTGCCGTTCCGTCAGGCTCTGAGTGTGGAGGAGCTGAGGCTATTTGAAGCGCTTGGGCTTTCTGAAAGTTAGACTTGCAGGTTTTGCATCTTATGTGTCAAATCGTATTTCAATTTGGCCATGGAGGGAGATGGATGGAAAACGTGGAGTCTGTCTGTCTGTGCGTTTGAGGAGTTCAAAGTAAAACGTGTGAGCTCCTCCTTTTATACCGCGGAGGCATTTTAATCCGTCTCAGCTGGTCAGAAGATGCTCCTTCAGATCAGCGCACTTTTCCCCCTTCTTAACAAATTAGCTTTGTTCTGCAGTCTGTAAATGACCTCAATACTGAGAGAAAGAAACTTTATACAGTTTAATCTACTGTTTTATCAGTGAAAACAGTTGATCTTAGTTCATAGTCTTAGTTCATACTCACTGCTGATGTATTTGTCAGTGTCAGATGAAGTCTGCGGCAGGGTACAAAGGATTCAAGAGGTCTGTGATCTAATAGTGTTTAACTACATACTGAATTAATGCCTTAAATGCTGCAGGTAACTTTCAGTCAATATCACGTGTGTGTATGAAAATAAAAGAGGAGAAATATTATTATGATTTGACTTTGATGAAAAGTTATTGTTGTGTGTATAGTCTTGTTTTAACTCCTTTACATTTGCCACATTTTTTTCATTTCAGTATTGAAAAAAAGAGAAGTGAGGACTTGAAATTGAATCGAATGCAAATGCAATTCATAACTTAACTAAATGATCATGTAATGATTTGTGTAATTACTAGGGCTGCCAAAGTTCACACATTAATAACCCTTTAATATGATAATAAATTAATAATGCCGTTCGTTTTTTTTAACATTGTTAATGCATTTTCTTAGTTTGACCTCCAGACCGTTCATAGTAGTGCAGGCTGAAGCCCAGCTGATAAATGTGATTATTCGCAGATATAATAACAGATGTTCTATGATAGTGATCTGTGATTGTAGCTCTCTCTGCGATAAATCATGATTAATAACGCAAAATAAATGTGATTATCATGAACTATTATATTAATCATTTGATAGCACTAGTTATATTACATTTAAATATCATGAAAAATAAAATATATATATTAAAACAACAATAACAACTTTAGTCTTATGAGTGTTCATGCATGCAAAGTGCAGTTGTAGGCAAAAGTTTAGGCACCCCTGGTCAAATTGCATGTTTTGTGGATTTGAAAATGTTACACATCCCCTAGAGAGAACACATTTCTACACATTTTAATGTACAATAAAAATAAAAAAAAGCTAAGAAGAAAAAAGTTAAGGCACATTTTTTATTTTATCTTCTATTTTTTATTAGATATGTTACACTGTGCACTAAAATTTGCAAAGAAAAAATGCCAATTTAATCTCACTGTAGCAGATGTTAACGTAATTTGATCAGGGGTGTTCAAACATTTGCATACGGCTGTATATTTGGAACAATATACAGTTTATTTGATTGATGCTTAACCTTTTTTTTAAGCTACAAAAACTGTAACCTGAAAAACAATTCATCAGCAAGACCTTTAGAAAGAGCTGCTATTGAGCAGTTATTACATAAAAAATGTTAAAACTACATCAGTTATACCTGATTGAAAAGGCTGCAAATATTATTGTTTTTAAGAGAGTATCGAGTTCATGTAGTTAAGTATAAATATCAACGGGTTGTCAAAGGGTTTGGACCCGCCATAAGCACATCACGACGTGAGATGTGAGCTGGATTGAAGTTCAGCACGAATCAGTCGAATCTTTCAGTCTTCATTCACTGTGGTTTCAGATTGGAGAGCTCTCAGATTTACTGCCTCCAGGACAATTGCTCTAATAGGAAACTGTGAAATGGACTATAACACTGACACATAGAAGTTGATATTCTTGCACTGCCTGTGTGAATCCACTTCAGCAGAGGTGTACAGAGCATTAACCTGTGGCCCTCTGACTGTGCTCTGTTCTGCAGGAGAACCGCGGCTCCAGAACTCTTCCCGAGATCGTAATTCCCTCCAGGCAGCTGGACAGCGAGCTGAAGCGCATGAAGAGAGATTGGGTTATTCCTCCTATTAATGTCCCGGAGAACTCCAGAGGGCCATTTCCACAGGACCTGGTCAGGGTAAGGTCAACTGCCTCTCTCTTTCCCTCTCTCGCCCTCTCTCATGCACACACAGATGGCCGTGTTTACCCAGAACACCCCGCGGTCCCGTAGTTTTGCCATAAACATCCAGAGATGTCGTGCATAGATGCTCTCTCTGAAAATGCACATACGTCCACGCTCTTCCCAGGCCTACACGTACATCGTGCCCTGCAGACAACGTATAATCCCTGCACGCTACAGAAAACCCACACAGTTCACACACCCACACACACCATCTGCTGTCTTAGAGTCAAAGAATCCGCCGCGACTGCAGTGGAAGATGGAGCCGCGACACGAGGAGCGAATGCTGGCGAAAGTTATAATTAATTGCAGTGTGACACTGAAGAACTTAATCTGTCATACACCAACCAGGCGAATGCGCACACATACATATGTATGGGAGCAGTGTGCAGATTCCATAAAGCTAGTCCAGATAGGTTGTGTTCACATTATAGGGTTGAAGTGGCACTAATCTGATGTTTTTGTCTAAATGCGACATGGATCTAATGATTTTAGAGCTGAGTAAACACAAAAATTTACCTCAAATCAAATTTGAGCACAATTACAAATGACCATGTTATATTTTTAGTCACACTATGGTCACATTACAAGCCTTTTTGGTCATGTTACAGTCACATTACAGCCTGTTTGGTCATGTTACGGTCACATTACAAGCCTGTTTGGTTGTGTTACAGTCACATTAGTCTTTTTTGGTCATGTTACGGTTACATTACAGGCTTTTTGGTCATGTTACATTCACATTAGTCTTTTTTGGTCATGTTACGGTGACATTACAGGCTTTTTGGTCATGTTACGGTGGCATTACAGGCTTTTTGGTCATGTTATGGTTGCATTACAGGCTTTTTGGTTGTGTTACAGTCACATTACAAGTCTTTTTGGTTGTGTTACAGTCACATTACAAGTCTTTTTGGTTGTGTTACAGTCACATTACAAGCCTGTTTGGTTGTGTTACATTCACATTAGTCTTTTTTGGTCATGTTACGGTCTCATTACAGGCTTTTTGGTTGTGTTACAGTCACATTACAGGCCTTTTTGTTCATGTTATGGTTACATTACAGGCTTTTTGGTCATGTTAAGGTCGCATTACAGGCCTTTTTGGTCACATTACAGTCAAGTTACAGGCCTTTTTGGACATGTTACAGTCACATTACAAGTCTTCTTGGTCGTGTTACAGTCACAAGCCTTTTTGCCTGTATTTTTATTTTTATTATTAGTTTTTTAATCTTTCTGCTTTGATGGTTCACATTGGTCATGTTCGCACTGCTGGTAAAAGTGGTCCAAATCTGATCTTTGATCGAGTGAGAAGTTAATAAGCTACAGGCTCAGTAAATCGAATGTTAAATTCAGGCATTGTGAGTGCATTTTACGTTCACATCGGGGTACATTTTGTGCTGCGCCTACCCACATTCATCTGGCTAAATTGTGCCATTAGTGCCACATTTAAAAAAAAAAATTGTGAGTATACTATGAAGGACTGAGAGGAAAAATCAAACAGTGGGTAAGAATGAATAAAATAAGACAGTGGAAAAATGGACCCAAATCCAGTCAGCTGCTTGTTACTGTTGTTTCTGTTGTTTACAGGCTCTCTATAATCTTTTTATGATATGTCTATACTACTGATATATTCAGAAAAGCACATTATGATGTAATATATTGCCAACACCTGCTGTCAAGGCCGGAAGATTGAATGTAAGCAAAAAGTTGCAGTTGAATTTGATAAGGCTTGTAATATGAGTGTAGTTCAGGCATTCAAGGCTATAATAAATTCTGCTTTCCTCTCTCTGGTGGGTGTGTGCAGATTCGGTCCGACCACGATAACAAGGTGAACCTGCGCTACAGTGTGACAGGCCCTGGAGCTGACCAGCCACCCACCGGCATCTTCTCCATCGACCCCATCTCTGGAGAACTGAGCGTGCTGAAGCCCCTGGACCGCGAACACATCGCCAGCTTCCATGTAAGAACACCTGAAGTGCATCTGAGGTGGGAAAAGGGCAGAGATTCATACAGAACTATCCTGCCCATCAGAAGTTTGGGGGCTCCTAGCTTTTCACAATGTTTTTTAATAGAAATAATCAAGGTTTTAGTGTCAGTTTGGAAAACATCTTAAAGACTAAGCAGAATTAATTTGAATCAAATAGTCAGCACTTAAACCTTTCAGCGGTTTAAACCACAGCTGGGCCAAAAGTGTTTTAGTGTATGCTTTTAACAATAGTTTGGAAAGGAAAACTGTCAAATCGTTATAAAGTTACAACTGGTCTTCATACTAAGGAAGACACTTTAATGACCGTGAAGCTGAAGATAAATATACCCAAAGGTTTTATTCATGAAAGCTTTTTTTATTTAAACTTTCTGTAATTTTTCGAAAATTCTGCCTAATTTAATGACTTTAAATAGTCATTCAGAGTGGTTTGTTGTAGCGAAACATACAGAATCAGATTTCTTTACAGTGGTGGTGATGGGAACTGGAGATCTCGATGTATACAACACAAATGTAGTCATTTCATTTACTATTCAAAACCACCAGTGAACCTACACAGCCACATGAAGCTCTTTTAAAAACAGGCTGTTAGTGATTATACAGTCATTGTTCATTTAAAATGCCATCCATCAACCTAAAGGCAGATATAGATTGTACCTTTTCTGCTATGCTAATGCTGTCGCAGACACAAAACACAAATTATAAAAGACTTCCTTTGTTGTAAGTTAAACTCAGTGGCCTTGAATGTGTAACATGATGTGTGAATAGCTGGCTTAGTGCCTATGACCCCATTTTCACCTGGCATTAACATACGTCTTGGGCAATCATGAGTGGACAGTGCTTAGTACAGGTGGGAATGGATTCTAATGTGTCTCAGTGATGGATTTTGATTGGACCACTAAAATCACCTTTAGAGCACTTCCTAACAGCAAAGGACCATCCAATCAACTGGACTTCTCTCTGCTCCAGGGAATTTCACTGATTTCTCAAAATTTCTGCAATTCAGTTGTCATTCGTAGTGGTTTGGTGTGAAATGGTTCATTGCAGAGAAACTTACTGACTCAGATCTCTTTACAGTGGTGCTGATAGGAACCAGGGGTCACAATGTCTACAACACAAATTGAGCCACTTTATTTACTATCCAAAATCATTAGTGAACCTACATGTGCCTTCTGAGTTTTTGTATGTAATGCTGATGATTGTAAAAAAAAAAGATAAATCTGAAAAAAAAAGCACTTTCTTTGGGCTCTGCTTCACTTCACAGCACCTTCAATTTACATCTCTATTTTCGAAATATATTTTAGGCTAAAGTCTTCTCTCAAAACCATCGTAAAAGAGTGTTTCACGCATCAGGCAGTGTTTTCACTACCATTTCACGTGGCACATTTTGCTGAGGGAGCTTTTAGGCTACGTTCACATTACAAGCCTCGTTGCTCAAATCTGATTTTTTGCTCAGATCTGATCTCTCTGACACGATGATTCACACTGATTCAAATCTGTCGTTAATGTGAACGAACCAGCGTCCTGAAATGACCCGTATGCGCACATCAGTAACCTCACGTGAACGAATCACGTGTGTCATGAACAGCAAACAGACTAATGAGCAGAACGAGCTTCGCTGTGAAGATAATTAACTCTGATCAGCTGTTCATTATTAGAGCGAGACGAAGGCGAAAAAGGTGAGATGTGTTGCTTTTCCACTGTTTACAGGCTTTAACTTCTGTTCGGCGCTGCTGCCATGGTAACACTGAATGATGACGCACGTGCAGTGAAACAAAAAGCACACGAATTCCGATCTGAGCGTCACATGAAGGTTGCATGGCCACAAATCAGATACAGATCCGATTTAGGACCAAACATGAAAGTGGCTCAGGTCAGATTTGAAAAGATCAGATTTGTGTGTCCACACAGCTCTGAAAACATCAGATCTGAGTCACATTAGGGCAAAAAATCGGATTTGTGACACTTCAACCTGGTAATGTGAACGTAGCCTTGGAGGCATTAAACTCTTCGGACGTCTGGTTCCAATCACCACCACTGTGAACAAATCAGACTCAGTAAGAACGGAGCACTTCATATCAAACCTCTCTGAATGACTTTGTTTATCTTCACCATGTAATTATGCAGAAATACTGAATGGAACTCTCCTTGATTGAAAAGTACCAGTGAAAATAAATAATTCCTCCCTACATTTATGAGGAAGGAAAGAGTGTCCCTGAACTCTTGCCAGTAGCTTAATAAGAAAGCTTTTGACAAATTCACACTGGCCATTTGGCGCCTCAGTTCTCTGGTCTTTTCAGTGACTCACTTCACACAAAGGCAGAGCTGCACTGTAATGATTAAATGCGTTTTGCACATGGGGGTATTTTTAGTTTCAGATATTTACATTGTCTCCCTAATGAGAGGATAGAAGGCATATGGTTTGTATGTTTGTGTGCCAGAAGATAACCATGATCTGTGAGATGCATCCTGATTTATCTTAAGAGTTGTGTTTGGCCTGATGCCTACATCTACGCATATTTCAGATAAGACATATTTGTCATGTGTATGTTTTGCACTGCATGATTCTCCTAGACTTTAGACAGTAAAATGATTCAGATTCACTCCATTGCGCACTCACCCTGAAACGGAGCCCAAACAGCAGAGCGCATCGACACAGCCATATCTACAAATTTACTGCAACAATTTCACAGTCAGAAACTGCAGCTTCAAGCATTACTGTCAGCAAGTTCTCTCTGTGCTCATATAGCTGGACCATTTAAATTCGCAACCCACACCCACACCCACACTCACACTCACACATAACCTTTCATGCCCTTTTATATTGTTTAACCCCTGAATGCACAGTATTAAGATGCTGCCCTTGGGTTATTAACTGTTAAGGGACGTTACGGTACTGTGCAAAAGTCCAAGTCCACCTTTTATTCATTTAAATTGGCTGAATGGCAATTAAGTATAAGCTGGTCTAGTACAAGGAGAAAATCGAGCTCCACTCTTGCTTCAGATCTGAAAACATCCACAGGTGTTTCTGTCCATCCTTCCACTGTGAGAAGACAACTCAGCGCTATGGGTCTGAAAGGGTGTGTAGCTGTCAAGAAGCCTCACTGAGAAAAGGAAACAGACCAAAAAGTCTTGCAGATCAAATTACAAAGATACTGGTTATCTCAAAAACAATGGACTGACCACCCCAGAGTCCAGACCTCAACATCACTGAATGTGTTATGGAATACTTTGAATGGTGAGAACCAGGAAATCCAGCCAACTTTTATCAGATTTAAAAAGTCTTTTATCTTTAGTGCAGTTATAATACTGAATAAGAGGGAGAATGAATGTTATATCTCCTGTTTGTACCTAGTTGGACTCTCTCTGTCTGGTTTTGTGGAATTTTTCTTTGTATTGTTTGGTTTTAAAGTTGTATTTAATGTGTTTTTTATTATCGTTGTATACTGTGGATGGAATGAATGTTAGAATGACTCCTTGCAAATCAGTTTTCTCCTGGAGAGACAATAATAAAGACTAAATTGAACTGATGAGGTCACGGGTTGGTAGCTTTAAAGATTAAGACCACCCACACTTTTGTGGTCTGGTGACACTACTGCCTCCAGACCCCTAATCAGAGAATAAAGAGGGTGAGGTATTTCCACTGAGTGTAGTGTGTTTGGGAGTAAGGGCGGGTGGGTGTCTGAGCCCAGGCTGTAGGCCATATTGCTGACTCCTCTGGTCCCACCAGACGGTCCACATTTTCACTCTGTGTCAGCTCCCAAAGCTATTAATAATATTTGGGATACACCGAGATGAGAACTGTGGGACAATCCTGATGTCCAGTATTTTTCATCCACATTATCTGCTGATGCTGATACATGTTAAAAAAACATAGAAACTGGGATTACAGTATTACAACCTGGATTAGCCTCACAGAGAAATAAAATATTTATTTATATATGGCTATAAATGCAGTAAAATTAATAAAATGCAGACATTTTAGAACTGTAGCCCCACATTCTGCTCTTCCAGAATACAGTCTGTTATTGAATATGGGTTTGAAATATTGGCCTGTTTGGTGCTGATAAAATTTGTTTTCCTATTATCTACCAAAACATGATTTCAGTATCACTGTATGTCTCTGGTTAAGAACACTGAACACTAACCTTGGTTGATAATGTCAATTTAGACAATTATCAAATGCAGAATTATTATGATAATATTGTTATGATCCAAACTCAGTTACTTTAATGAATATACTTACCATATAATCATCAGCTGGTCTCTCTTTGTGTGGTTCTCCATGTTTCTTTGATTGGAAACTGAATTATTGGCAAAAATTGCATGTTGGCACCCTTCTTTTGGACAAGCTGGTCCTTTTTCTGCTCATGTGCTGGATTTTTCATTTGCATGTTCCCCAGCATATTTTGCCAGACTGAATACCTCCGACAGGTGTACTGGGAGCTTGGTTAAAGCAAAATCATGAACTGTCTGAGGACCCTGAGAACTGGGTTGAATGTTGCCATAATTGATGCAGGAGAAAAGTGTTTCTGGACACAGAAGCACTCAGGAGTTAAGAAAAAGCTGTTTTTCCAGGCCTGTACCCCTTTAGCCTTTTACCTTTGGAGATGCTACCAGTGTACTCTTCATTTTTAATCCCATATGAATCTGTTATGCCTGTAGTTTTGTCTAGCAGTAATAATTGCAAAAGGTATGACCTTATGTGATTGGCTTGAGCCAATTGAGTCATATAATACCAAAACCTGCTAATGGACACAGCCGTTCTCTGTGTTGTTATTGTTATTGAGTGTGGTGGCTGTTGCATAATACTGTAACTCCTTTTTTTTCTATTACAAATATACAAATACTTTATCCAGTATGATTTGGACAGTCAGAATCACTGCATAACCTCCTTTGGTTAAACTAATCCACACCAATAGTGCTAATCACAACTGCACACTGAACTGACTAAGCCCTCCACTCTCTTCAGAGGAAAACCTCAGAAACAAGTGCTTGCCCACTGAGCTTAATCAGGGTGGTAATGATGTCCTTGTGCTTAAGAAGCAGTGTGTGTGTTGTGTGTTTGTGGGACAGAGTGGGTATGTGTGCTTTGACTTCCTGATTATACGTTAAATGGTTCGCCTGCTTGAGAACAGCTCTGGCCATCATGTCTTCATTGTTTAGGCCTCTTTGTCAGTGTGTTATTCATATTTTTTTATGTGTGAGTACAAAAATTATTGATGTATGTGTGTAACTTGATGATGTGTGTCCTGAAATCTGATGTTTTTTTTCTTCCTCTGCAGCTCAGGGCACACGCAGTGGACCTGAATGGCAATCAGGTGGAAAACCCCATTGACCTTGTGATCAACGTGATTGATATGAATGACAACCGACCTGAATTTGTCCATCAGATTTGGAATGGAAGTGTTCCAGAGGGCTCCAGGCCAGGTACGTTCCAACTGAGACATCATGTTTCCTATATATATATATATATATATATATATATATATATATATATATATATATACTAGAAACGCCAAAAGTGCTTCTAAAGAAACACAAAAACTGTATTTTTTTCAAGAGAGAGCAGACAGTAACGTTTATTAACCTAGATTAACCTAGATCTCTGTGTTTTCAGAGCCTTCTTCAGCTTTCTAGACATCATTTTGCTTCATTTTCAGATCCTCAGCCAGCTGCTTAGAGGAGCCTATAGTTTTAAAGTGTTAATACAAAGTTTGAAGAGTCAGAGAATTTCTTACGTGCTGAACCTGCCATCAGCACACAGTTCCTAACGACAAGACAGGCCTTAATGAATTAATTAAGTGCTGAGACTAATTTCTTTCTCTCCACTTTTTAACGTATTAAATACAAAATAACTGTGCAGAAAAATGTTATTTTTCAGTTTTCTGCAGAGGTTGTTTTTGTCTTTTCACTTCAAGAATCAGCAAAATATTTAATTAGGGGTGCCCAATCTTTTGCATGGAACTCTATCTAGCTAGCCCCCCCATTACTGGCTCCTAAGTACCTGTACTTGTCGGCCTTTTCTCTTCAGGTACGTCAGTAATGACCGTAACGGCCGAGGACAAGGATGACCCTCGCACTCAGAATGGTCAGCTGCGCTACAAGATCCTGTCTCAGAATCCCGAGAGCCCCGAGCGCCAACATGTTCACCATCAACAACCGCACCGGCAGCATCATCACCGTGGCAGCAGGATTGGACCGAGAGGTAAACACAAGATGGTGTATTTACATTTTTTTCAGCCTTCGCGCTGATGCATGTGTGAATATCCAGCTTTAGGTTTTTGAGGCAGTGACAGCGCTGCACCAAAATCTGCAGACACTGATGGATTTGTGACAGGAAGAGGTTTTCAGACTTTATCTGTATTTCAGTAAGTGAATGTAGTCATTTAGCCAAGGCACATTTGATGTTTGAAGTCTGAAGCTATGAGGCTAATGTAGTTAACAAGTAATGGAAGCTTGTAGCCTCCATTCACCATCATGCAAACCTCGTGTCTAAATCATTACACAGATTGTGCATGGCTGCCTTCACTATTTTTTAGATATGTGACATTTTTATAGATAATAGGATTTTGAATGAGACAGGATAAGAAACAACCTTCTTAACTTTAATGGAAGTGAATATAACAAAATTTCATTCAAGTAATTTTGCACCATTTCTTTTTCCTTTCATCATGAAGTGTTTATACAGTGTGAAGTGCAGCTGATGTTTTAAAATTAGCTTAAAAAAAGCAAGAATGGAGCTTCAGGATTTAGTCCTGACAGAATGTGTGACACGATATGAAGATATAGTGTAGAAGAGTTAAAGGAGTGTTTTAGAAAGGAATTCTGGAGATTGTCAGTGCGTTTACATGCATTTAATAATCCGAAAACTGCGGAAAAATAGATTTTGTCAGAAATCCGTTTAGCGCATTTACATGCACTTGGGAATCAGATAATGGGGAAACTCTGCGTCTACATGAGTCAGACAGTAATCAGATTTCTGCTTTGCAACCAGCCAATAAACTCACAGAATAAGATGTGATGTAAACCTAATGCAAAACATCATGTTACAGGTTTTAAAGAGTCACTTTAGCAGAAAATATGAATATACATCATCTAGAAAACAAAGAATATTCAAATCCTTCATTTCGTCAAGCATGTACGTGGTTTCACCGTTGCACCAAAAGCATTTGGTTGCTATCTCATGGGTTCTGTGTTAAAAGCCACCTGCTATTTTTGCACATGTGCAAACTGAGAAAGCCGAAAGAAATCAGAGTAAAGGTTAACATGCACTTGAAACCTGGTTTCTGAGCTAAAATCCAGCTCTCTTAATCCGATTTCTTACTCAGATTTCTAGGCTTTAATCTGATCTATGAAATCAGTCTATGCTGTTTACATGACTACTTGAATAATCAGATAACTGCCAAAATCCAATAATGATTGGATTATTAAGTGTGTGTAAACACACTCAGTGTTGTACAGTTTAGTGTTTGCTCTGCTCCAGCACACCTGATTCAGCTTCTCAGCTCATTATCAGCCTTCATTAGCTGGATCAGGTGTGCAGGAGCTGGATCAGACTCTAAACCCTGCTCTGCAGTGTTTTGTATTGAGTAACATGCAGCAGGTTTGCTCTGGCTGGTTGGCTGTTCAGTGCCTAATGGGGATTTTAATGACACACTGACTAATGCCTGATAAAATGCTGTTCATGACTTACCACCTCACCACCTCACAATTATTCAGCCTAGAGCCTCAGCAAACAGCTACACATTTACTGGGAGGCTGTATGTGTGTGTGTATATACACATACACACATACTCACCAAGCACTATGAACACCTGTGCACCTACTTATTCCTACAGTTATCTATCTAATCAGCCAGTCGTGTGGCAGCAGTGCAGTGAGTGCATAAAACCATGCAGGTACAGGCCGGCAGCTTCAGGTAATCTTCACACCAAACATCAGAATGAGGAAAACTTGTGATCTCAGTGATTTTGACTGTAGCATGATTTGGCATGTTGGTGCCAGATGGGCTGGTCTGAATATTTCTGTAACTGCTGATCTCCTGGGATTTTCACACACAACAGTCTCTGGTCTCTAGAGTTTACTCAGAATGGTGCAATAAAGATAAAAACACCAGTGAGCAGCAGTTCTGTGGACAGACATGCCTTGTTGTTGAGAGAGGTCATTCAATCGGTTGTGTCCAAACTTTTGCTTAATGTGCTGTATCGCACATTAAGACAAACAGAAACCTCAACATGCATTACACACGCACTGCAGATGGCTGGTGAGCTAATATACATCACACCCATCACAACGTTCACAAACAAACAGCTCACAGCACATGTTGATCCATATCATCCAGCCTGCGGTTCCTAATGAAAATGTTGGACTTTGTCCCGCAGCACTGTCTGGCCTTCATCACCTTGACTTATAAAGAAACAAATGAGATATTGTACTTGTTGAGTCTCTGTTTGAGAGGAATATTAATAAGGGGCATAAAGGCGGTGAAAAATTCCATTTGATGTCGACACACATAATTATTTTATCTCTCGTGACTCATTCTGAAACAGTGCCACTCTGCAGTTGGCATTTTAAAATCAGCCAAAGCAGCCAAACACAAAAATGTTAGATCCACTGAAAATGCTCACACATCTCAGACATTTAAATTAATTGGAGGGGAATGATTAACCTCTGTTGCTCTCATTTAACCCCTTACAATCTCTGGCTTATTACATCCTAAGGCTTATTATTCAGAAAGTACAGTGCGAAGTGATGGAGTTATTCTCGGGTTACAGTACGCTGTAAAAGTGGGAGAGAGCAGAAGTGTTTTCGGCTTAAATTGACGTAAATTTGTGTTTGCTCCTAAAATATTGCTTTGTTTCATTCATTGAATGTATTTCAGTTAGAAGTCATTTTGTTAGCTTCAACTGACAAACCATTTTTTACAGTGTGGTAAGGAAACCAGGCCTGGGTTTGCTGGCGGCTCCTGGATGTTTAAAGACTTTAATTGTTTGCCTGTGGTCAAATAAGCTTAAGAAGTTCTGTTTGACTGTTCTGCTTTCAGAAAGTTCCTCAGTACACCCTGATCATCCAGGCCACTGATATGGAGGGAAACCCGATGTACGGCCTTTCTAACACAGCCACAGCGGTCATCAGGGTGGAGGACGTCAACGACAACCCGCCGGAGTTCACCACTGATACTGTGAGTCAGACTGTCCTCAATGTTGTTTGACTCTTAGTAGGCCTTTCACAATTACTGCATAATTGCCTGATCACAATTATTTCATCTGATCATAGTTATTTTAGCTGACCACTGTTATTTTCCACAGTTGTTAGCTTTAACTGCTGTGTTTACATTGTAACAAACACAATATCTTGGGTGCATTTTCATCCACTGAATTGTGGCAAATGCATGCAAATAACAGAAGACAGAAAGCGTGTTTGAGTCACATCATGGATCGTACAAAAACAACAAAACTTCTAACTTATAAATAGTGCTGTAACACCTTTAGAGGGTGCTGGTTAGTAATGTTTGTTTATTTAATGTTTATTAACCCTATAATGTATAAAGAGGGCCAAACTGTCCCAATAGGGTGTGATTTCTGGATTATTTTATCAATAAAAACATTTCATTTTGGGATGGTGTTTGTTAGTCCTACAAATACCATAATTGTTGGTTACAGGCTTTGAAAAAATCTCATTTTTGTTTCAAGTCTTTGTAAAGGGGGTCAAAATGACCCCCATGCATTTCCTGCAGAATTTTGTGATACCATGGTACATCGGTATGGTATTAAGAATATAGTTACACTTACACTGTAGGGCAGCATTCATAAGGCTACATGACACCTACATAAACTCGTCATGACAGTTGACTTAAACCTACATAAACATTTCTGAAGGCTTATTGCAATTTTTTTTCTTTTCTTTGAAGAAAACCATTGTTTCCCCCTTTATGCATTTATATAGGTTTTATGGGTCATGCATAGAGTTAGTAACATCTTTAGACGACAGCGGTACGTAGTGTTTGTTTATTTGATGTTTCTTAAGAACACCTTTAGATGGCAGCAGTGAGTAATGTTTGTTTATTAGAACTTGAGCTGTTTAGTAGTTCTGACAGCTAGAAAACAAGATTTTAGGGCAGTCAAGGGCCGGAGGTTAGGGAACCAGCCTTGTGACCGGAAGGTCGCCGGTTCGATCCCCTGAGCCGACAGTACATGACTGAACCCCCAACTGCTCCCCAGGTGCTGTGGATAGGGCTGCCCTCCGCTCCGGGCAAGTATGCTTGCTGCCCCCTAGTGTGTGTGCATTCACTAAAGTGTATGTGGTGTTTCACTGCATGGATGGGTTAAAATGAGGAGGTGAAATTTCCCCACTGTGGGACTAATAAGGGCAACTTAACCAGCTAATTCACAATTTGGCCACTTTAGATTGGTGCTTTTATAGTTTACATTTAATTTTATCATTACAACGGGCTAACCTTTAGAATTAACTTATCCTAGACAGTGAACAAACTTAAAGATGGCAGTTAAATATTGCTGAGTTTAACATATTGGAAAAAAATAAGAAGTCTGTCACTGAACCTATCCCTACACAAACTTATCCATACACAATACAAATAGTATATACACCTAATTTATTATGTAACTAACTATGTATCTAAATACATAATTATGCAATTACACTGAAATGTAATGTATAATATGTAATGTAAATCAAACAATAATAACAGCTCTGGATTATTTAGGATTAAGATTCACCAATGACCGCGAACTTAGACCATCTCGTCTTATGATATAGATGTCCGAGTGTTGATATTAGCATGTATAAGTGTTTAAACAGTGTTAACGTGTCGCTAATGACTGACATACTTTGGAATGACCTCTCTCTCTCTCTCTCTCTCTCTCTCTCTCTCTCTCTCTCTCTCTCTCTTTCTCTTCCTCCCTCTCCCTCTTGCTTTACTCCACCCTGACAGGTAAGATATTAGCAAGCCATTCCGGCCAATATCTAGTTAGTCTGTGATTTCTGTCACTTGTCATAGGAAACGACTGAGGGAAAGCACAGTGGTGTTTAATGGAATTGGTAAAGTGTGTTTGAAGGACATTTCTCATTATTTCCGAAAAGCCTTCACGACAGCCAGGCATATTTGAAGAAAAATCTAGTCACGCTCGACAGCCTGCTCTTTAGATATTAATGAGGACTTCAAAAACACTACCTTTGAGTTTTGTTTAACCACGGGAGATATTGCGGACCTCTCGCAGCCCCTCCCTGCCGCTCTCGCCGAAATAAACTGCCAAGGCGACTTCTCTTCCATCAATCTCTCTCTGAGTGTAACACAAACCATGTATTTCCCAAACGTGTCTGATTCGATTACCTCGGAGTGCTTCACATACGATAACGTTCGGAGGCAACATTTCACCGTGATAACATCATCATGCTTAATTATGTAGATTATATTCTCATTCGTGGAGCACACCTAAGGTGGTGGGAAATATGTTATTATGTGCTGGAGAAATCTCAGCAATGCCAGGGTTCATCATCAGTATAATGGTGTCTGACGGCTCTGTGGAGTTCTCGCTACAGACTCTGTTAGTCTGTGGCTGTGTGTGAATGTGGGTTATATATAAGTATGGAAAGTACACTGAAAAAAGTAATGCATTGGATTCAGATGTGTACATCATTTCCACAAGAATAATGGGATATTCTGTAAACACAAATATTGGTGACACTTTATTTTGCATTTGCAACACTCAACAGACTCTCAGTAACGTCAAAAATATATGAGGGTTAGGGTTCTGGGTTGAGGTTAAGGTTAGGGCCAGGGTTAGGTTTTAGTTAAGGTTAGTAAGGTTAGGTTTGTGTAATGGAAGTAACATATTAACCTCTACTTACTGTAAATAATGTATCAACAGAACATCTACAAGATATTTACTTCAGTGTATTCAGATGCTTCACTACTGCTGCTTCATTGATATGTTGTTGTTGTGTTACTGATAATCTGTTAATAGTTTATTAACCATCTACAAAGGATCACTCCAAATAAAGTGTTACAAAGTAGGAACAAAATATGTAAGTCGTGGCCACAACTTAGTTAGGCGTAGGACGAAGATCATGCCTTGATAAGCTGTGGTCAAAGTTACAAAGTTGGGGCCACGCATTAAGATCTCTTTCCCATACCTTACTAAGTCGTGGCCATGACTTAATTGTCCTGTTCCCATGCCTTACTAAGTCATGGCCATGCATTATTCTTATTTATACAGGGATGTCACCAGCAGGGCTTCATAGCACTAATATCTATTGTGCTAAAATATCTGAATTTTGTAAACCTACAGAAAAAATGGCACAGTTCTATTTTATGCTAATCTGAATGCATTTAATGCATTGAATTGCAAGGCTATATATTTTTTTTAATATTTTTTTTATATATATTTTTGTATTTTTTTTGTATTTAAGTTCTACAAGGGGGCTACACATCTAAGATTTTCACTCACCTTTGCAGCTGTGTAAAGGTGATGTGGCAATAAATATGATTTGATTTGAACAGTCCAGGATACAGTCAATGTTTTTAATTGTAATATTTGCTTTTGGAAGGCTAAACATTGCTATCTATGATGATATCTGAATCATTTTGGCATCGGCAGAAAATTGTTTCAAAATTATCCCTACACAACAAACATACTGCTGTTGTTCTGCTGTATGTTTACCCCATGTGACTTTGTCCCTCACACAGTTCTACGGCGAGGTTCCGGAGAACCGAGTGAACGTCATCGTGGCCAACCTGACGGTGACGGACAAAGACCAGCCCAACACTCCTGCCTGGAAGGCAGTGTACAAGATCACCGGCGGCGACCCCACAGGCCGCTTCTCCGTCCCCACTGACCCCACCACTAACGAGGGCCAGGTGACCGCAGTCAAGGTAAGCGGAATTACCCAGAATCCACTGGGAGCCACTTACACACACCTTCTCTCTGCTTCTGGCTCCTGCATGGCCATGATGCTTCAGTCAGAAATCCTTGCAGTGGGCATGTTTAGTGGAGGCCGAATCGGATTTCTGTCGAAATGAATGTCCCTCATACAGAAATCTGTCCAGCAGCCTGCTGATCCGCTCCTCAAGGTCATGTTTGATGCATATGAGTTGTCTTCAGTGTCCCACTACATGCCTGTTGGCCATAACCATGAGCATAAATGAATCTTATTAGATGTTTTTCTGGAATCGTATTAGTCTTGGGGAGATTATACCAGAAATTCTTTTCTCATTCTGTCCTAGAAGCACAAGTTCCTCATGGGCTGTGCCTCACTCTCCTCCTCTGTGATCATTTTCCATCCTTTGAATCCCAAATGAATCTGAGTTCTGTGTAAAATAAGGGGACATGAAGAGAGGAGAAGCCACATAAATCATGATAACAGCAGGCTAAAAAACAAGAAACGCTGCACAAGCAGCTGTTAACGCAGCCGGTTGCAGAAATGTTACTTTTGAGTAACTAGTTTTTTGTCATGGTTCAGAAAACTGACACAATGAAAAAATTTTCCTCTGTTTTATGTTCTTGTGCGCTGATCTGGTGAAAACAGTCATTTTAAAGTGCATCATTTGGTGTGATCACATGATGCAACTTGTTCCATGAAGTTGAGACGCTTGGAACTGTTGGGGCTGATTTTCAAATGAGTTGCAGGACGACTTACATTATCGCAACTCGAGTGCAGTTTAGTCTTATGTAGGTTTCGAGACACCAAAGTTGCATAAAAGTTTCACTATGTAAAGCCAGCCTTACGTGCACAATAATAATGGCATCATTTCTGATTTTGGTAGTTACTTGATGATTCAAGTGATCATGTAGTCAGCATACTATAATTTTTCATGTCAGATCAAATGTGTTTCTGGTTTGCGAGAAATACGATAAAGACACCTGGATTTTAGCTCCATAATTCAGCATTCAGTGCATATATGCCATTAATCTGATATCTGATATGATCAAACAGAACTAGACAGAACAGTGGCATAGATATAGACTGACTCCTATAGGCCTGTAGTTTTACCATCATCAGATTTCTAAATAATTATTGTCAAAATCTGATTTTCTACAATCACATGCAACATTTTTACATTTTGTCCTCTACAGAGAACTGGAGTTAACATAAACATATAATATGTTGTGTGCAAAGTTTAGGCTCATTTCATATTTCATGTTTTACTTTATCCAACATGTAAAAATCAGCAAATATATAGAAATTGTGCACCAAAGTTTGCAGGAAAAAAATGCTATTTTTAAGTTTGTTCTTACATTCAGACTTTTGCGTACAACTGCAAATGTCAATGTACTTTATGTTTTGTTTTCAAAAATGCAAAACCAGTTTGGTTTCATATACATAGTGATAAAATAATTATAATATACTAATCCTGTGCACCAGATTTCAAATGATTAGTAGGTAGATGGGAAGCTGTAAAAAGAAACAGACAAATAATTTTAGATGTATCCAGAATGATGAGCAGAGCTGTAGATCATTCTAAAATGACTTATAATTTCAGTCTTGATGGGATACAAAGTTAATTTCCAGAATGACTGGGATTTTATGAGAACTTGACAAAAAGTACTGAAAATAAATAATGTAATATGTTATTTTGCCATTTTAATAACTTCATATTGTTCCAGAAATACTTAAATTACTGTAAAAAATTGAAATACCTTTTGGTGCTTATGATATTAAATCTTTATTAGCAGGGGTATGACAAGGCTGCTGTGTAGTTTCTGACTCTTGAGTATTGATGCCCCCTAACAGCCCGTTGACTTTGAGACCAGCCGGACGTTTGTATTAACTGTGGTGGCGATGAACGAGATTGCGTTGGAGCGAGGGATCCACCTGCCCCGCCAGTCCACAGCCACTGTCTCTATCAGAGTTATCGACGTCAACGAGAGCCCCTACTTTGACCCCAACCCCAAACTCATCAAACTGGACGAGGGAATGCCAACCGAGTCTGTGCTGACCACTTTCACGGCCCAGGACCCCGACCGCTTCATGCAGCAGACCATCAGGTACAGCTTCGTCAACAAGCACCCAGCTCCTGATTCACTGCTCACTGTCCACTGGCTGTTTGTTGAATAACAGTAGCTTAAAGCCATTTGTCCTTGAAGAAAAATTAAATCTGCAGTGTTGAATTAAATCGCAGTTCCACTGTTTTTCAGGATATCTCTATACTTAAATCGGTACAGTGTAAACAAAGTCGTACAGAGTGGTTTGATGTGAAATGCTTCATTCTAGAAACTTACTGAGTTAGAATTATGCAAAGTGGTGGTGATAGGAACCAGACGTTTGAAAAGTTTAATGCCTCTAAAAGCTCCCTCACAAAGTTATTACATGAATTGGTTATGAATGCACTGCCTGATGCCTGAGACATTGTTTTAGGATAGTTCTGGGTTCAGATTCTGGCATAAAACATCTGTTTATAGTGGAGGAGTACATGCAGGCTGTTGAAAAGCAAAATAGCACAAAACATATTTTTTCAGATTTACCAATATTTTACTATCATCATCATCACATGTAAAACTCAGAAGATGTGTGGTAAATTGGTAGTAAGTTGGGAAGTAATTAAACATATCACTGTTGTTGGAACAAAACCTTGTATCTCCAAACATGTAACTTTACAGGTGAAGGAAAAAACCTAATTTACTTTTAATGTAAGTCAATGGAACCAGACTTTTTTCCAAGTCATTTTGAGCTGTTTCTTTTGGTCCATTCATCATGAAATTTACACACAATGTAAAGAGCAACGGGCACTTGCGAATTATGTCAAAAACTGAAAAATGACAAAAACGGAGATACAAGGTTTTGTTCCGACAGCAGCGACATGTCTATAATATATGTCTATAGTATGTCTGTATTTGTCTTGTAGACATGGTCTACATGATCACTGTAAAGTAATCTGAGTTGTTAGAAATCTCAACAATGGACCACTTCACATCAAACCATACTGAATGACTTTGTCTTCATTTTATATTAATTTGTATTGTACGTTAAGAATTTTTTTCCTTTTCCTGTGAAGTTACCATTTTGGAGATACAAGATTTTGCTCCAGCAGCAAAGATATACACTGTTTAAGCACAAACTTTGGCAAAAAATCTAAATGGCAAACTATATGCCTAAATCATCAACATGGAATTTTGCCTGTCTTTTATCCACTGTAGTGATGCTTCCATTACATATTAGCCACATTCGCCTTAAAACATATCTTGGCTGATGAATTACATTCAAGGAGAAAGTTGTGTAAATTTGACTTTTTTGCCTTCAGTATGTGGCTTAGTTATAAGGCTGATATAAAAGTTAGTCCAGTCCAGCTCAGTCCAGTCTCAGGGTTGTCATGTAGACCTTAATTTCAGTTTTGAGAACACACTTTTTGCAGCAGTGGACCACTGTGTCCCTTTGAAATGCCCTTTGGTAAACATCAGCATAAATTATTTATACATCTCCCAGCCTGGATACACTGACAGCTTGAATGTCCTTACATATTAACAGCATCCCTTAACGTTCTCTCCTCTCAGATACTCCAAACTCTCAGACCCGGCTGACTGGCTGAGGATCGACCCCAACAATGGACGCATCACGACCATCGCCGTTCTGGACCGCGAGTCTCCATACGTTCAGAATAACATGTACAACGCCACGTTCCTCGCTACTGACAGCGGTGAGTTCACCAAGCACCAATTCAGTATCATGTGAAGGAGCTTTCTGTATTCAAGAGTACAATTCAGGAGGATATGTTAACTGTGTAGTTCTACATGTAGTGGCCCCAGAAAGTATTTGTGCCATACTTTAAAAAGTTATCATTTTAGAAAAAAGTGTTATTTAAAAAAAAGGCATTTATTTTGAAAAAAATATTTCATCAATGTCTTTTTCTTTTTGGAAAAGTATTCTTGTAAAAAAATTTAGATCATTATCATATGAGCAGTTTCTTTGCAGATTTCTGCAGGTTTGTGTCCAAATTATATTTATACGTTTCTAAGTTCATGATTCCAGTGATGAACACAGGCTCACCAACATCAGTGAGTGTATTTACATGCACTCAATAATCCGATCATCATCAGATTTCTGCAGTTATCTGATTATTCAAATGGTCATGTAAACAGCACACTCCGATTTTTTAGATCAGAGTAAGGTCCAGAAATCTGATGAAGAAATCGAATAAAGAGAGCTGGACTTTAGCTCAGTAATCAGATCTGTCAGTGCATGTGAACTCTTACTCTGATTTCTTTCGGATTTCTTAGTCTGTGCATGTGTGAAAACAGACGGTGGTACCAGAAATAAGCAAGCAGCGTTCTCACAAGATGCAGCAAAAAGATGCTGAAATCAACTACATGCTTAACAAAATGATGGATTTAAATATTCTTCATCTTATAAATGATGTATGTTCATATTTTCAGTGGAGCAATGTTTAAAAAAAAAGCCATGGCATGAAGTTTGAGCTTGCGCTACGTTTACGTCACTCCTTCTTCTTCTGAAGTGAATGTAAACGCGTTGATTGGATTACTGACAAAGTCTGATTTTCGGTTATCGGATTGTTAAGTGCATGTAAATGCGCTATTTGAAATAAAACAGCCCCAGACTTTGAAGTTTCCAGTTCTTCATGCTTTCTCCGCACAAGTGATGAAAAAAAAATCATGTTGTTAATAAAGTTATAAATTAACCTAAAGAACTTCATTAGGTTTACCAGTGATTAAATGATTAAAGTGTCAAAATACTTTTTGGGGCAACTGCACTGCTGCTGTCACAGGAAACACTTTTAGGCAAAGGAAAAAAATGTTTGAAAGATTTGCTTCTCAAAATTTCTATTAGTCCTTTCATCATGGTATGAAAGCTTACAGCTTGTGTGTTCAAGTGGTGTAAAAAGTAAATCCAAAAGAGATGAAGCTCTGAACTCTGTGTGGAGAAAATTAGTTTTTTTTAAAGAATTTTTTACTTTCACTTTAGCTGCTCGGGGATATGAAAGTGAAAAGTGTTTTAACTCAAGTAACTGGATGCTGGTCTTGCACTTTTAAGAGTGATAATGCTCATTTGTACATTCACTCAAGCGTGAGGCTTGTGTACTTCCTGTGGAGGTGACAGCTTCCCTATGATGGATGATTTAGAGGTTCTACCAGCCTGAGCTAGAAGCTGAAGTCACCTTGTCGGAGCGTATCTGATGCTGCATGTTTGCAGTCAGGTGAAATGTTTAGTCTTGCTAAAATCCTGGTGAAAAACAAGGGCTGTGTTTCAGAATTATCCAAGTCTGTGTGGCTGCCCGCCACTCTGGCAGCCACCTCCAAGATCAGCTGTGTTATCGGGCTTCTCACAGTGGAGGTGTGGGCGTGTGTCCACATTTAGCATCAGACAAAGACACCCCGGCCAAGGTGAAAGTGCTAGCAGAGCCCTCTGGATTTGTTCACTTTTTGGAAACATGAATGTGGGTACTGTCAGGCTAGCAGGACATCAACCTTCTGTCCTCTAAATAGGATGATCTTTGTGTAAGCGAGTAGAGCTGGACAATATATATCATTTGTTAATAGCTATCGCAGTACTTTTTGCAGTCCTGATGTATGCAAATGGCCTTCTAACCTGACCTGTACAGCTGTTCTGGGCAAGGCATTTATATTTTGATTTATTAAGGCATCCATGCAATTCGACATATGTAAAGAATGATGGACCAAATAATATAGGCCAGCCTTCAGTTACGCTTTGCTAAAATAATAATGGAAGCACCAATTTGAAAATGACCTTAAATACCTAAAATCTTCTTTCCTTATGATAAAATCACAGCAATGCACAGCCTCAAGTGACTTATTGCTTTTATAAAGACGGCAGCCAACATACAATATGATAAAATACACAATTTTTCAGAAAACAATTTAAGTTATTATTATTAATAATTGACATAAACAAGTATTCCATCAAGAAATGTAGTTCCTTTAGAGTACACTTTTCATTGCTAAGCACCCTTGGACTGCTAAATAAGGACAACGTTCAGTCGTCCATCGTTGTATATTGCAGTCATTTCATGATTTTTTAACTTTTTGTCGTATAACAATGAACATATGATAGCACAGCACTGCTTAATACAAAAGCTTCTGCTTTATAAGTACTTGTTGGTCAGCAAATTACCACTGCGAGTCTTATTTAGTACCAATCCAGCGGCACCCCTCTTTCATGCTGGAGCTGAATCTCAAGTGGCTCATTGCTCCCTACATAGTGTACTATGTAGGAATTTAAATACTGGATCCTGCAACGCAACAGGGCACAATATAGCTAATAAATAGGCTAGCTGACCATCCCAGACCTGACCATCCTACTAATATAATAATATCTTCAGTTTTTTAAACTGTCTTTCTAACAGGTCATTCCACAGTTCATTTTTGATACATTTCATAAATTATTAAATGTCACTAATCCAATGGCACTTACAGAGTAGTGCTGTGTAATATATGACTTACTGATTATTATTGTATTATATAACTAATATATTAGAATAATCTGAATGCAATATTGGTTGAAATATGTGACTATATAACATGAAACTAGAACCATTACATAATAACAGTACAGGTGTAATGTCTTTCCAGACCTGTTCATATGAAGTTTACATACAACCTTCAAACACAATAAAACAAACTTACAGAAATGTCCCAGGCTAACAGCTTAAATGAATAGTTAGGCGTAGCAATCAAATGTGCACAGTTGTCCACTTACCTCAGGTGTAGTCATTCAGCTAAGGCATGTTTGATGTCCAGATGTTGCTTCTTTAGTTTAGCACTAATGTTGCTAACAAACACTAGAAATCAATAGTCACCCAAATCTTTTCCGTAAATACATCCCCAGAACGTCTCTCAAACCTAAACCACATCGACAAGTCTGTGTGATCGTAATGAAGAGCTGCATGCAGTTTGAGTCGGTTAAAAGAAGTTTTGGGTGACTACTGACTTCTAGTGTTTGTTGGCACTGTTAGCCTCAAAACTCCAGTTTGAAACTAAAGAAGCAAAATGTGGACACTATGCATGTCTTGGCTCATTGACTACATCTGGCGTAAATGGAGAATTTATGTAAATATGCTGTTATGTAGGCTAGTGCTTGAAGTATACTAATATGTAATCATAACTAATAATGACTCCGGGGTATAAAATTTGCATAAGTAGCGATAAAAGGGGTCCAATAAAGCGGGTAGGGTGACTGCATTTTCTGTAATTACCCCATTGTGTCAGATCAGAGGTTCCCCAATGTCTGTTGTTTTTCATTTTTTTTTAATTGCATGCAAGTTATTCTCTATTTCACTGCTATCAACACCACTAGCCTTTGTTTCCAGGCTGTTCTCTCTGCTTTACCACTAGGTTGATATAAGCTCTTCCCTTCTGGAGCAGAATCACTGCAGTACAGTATCGGAATGGATTAAAAAAAAAATTCCTTTAATTTACAAATATGTTAATTTCCAAAATGAAAAAGTCCTGAAAGTGTTTACAGAAGTACATGTTTCTTAGAAATGGTCACTGATCACAGTTCACCAACTGCACACTGACTTTTCCTGCTCTAAATACTGAAATAAAAGGAATTAGTCTTTGTGGTAATCGACCATATGCTACAGATGCAGTGGATAGAGAGATCAGATTGAAAAACACTGGAGTATTCAGTGTTAAATGAACCGAAAGAGACCGTGGACAGTGTTGGGAGCCCAGTCATCATAAAAGCTCTCTCAGTAAAGAGATTTGCGGTTAGCAATGGCGCACTGTTGGCTGAGCCGTGCGGGTTTGAGAGAGGCGTGAATAGCGAAAGCCTCTTTGGCCGTGTGTTCTCAGGCAGAGGCGGCTGTGTGTGTACGTGCCAGCCAGCAGTCTTTAGTATTCAGCACCTATCACAGCCACTCGGGAAGATACTCACTGTATGTTTACAGAGAGCGGCCTGACGATGCCCAGTCTAATGTGGGAAGTGGTGGATGATAGTGATGCTGCATGGCAGCTGCTGGCGGGTCCGCTGCGGCGGGACAGTGCTGATTTCAGAGAGAGAGAGAGAATGAATGAGTTCATGGAATTGTGTCTGTGGATAAATGAAACCGCAGCCATTGAGAAAGAGCAGCGCTGGTCGCTTCTAAACCAGCTTGGCTGTACAAGCTGCTCTGAATGCAGAGCTGTTAGCTTGCCACCCTCATTCTGGGTATTTGAGGAGTAGAAATGCATCAGAGTGTCATGATAGATTGATCTGAAAGTGCTGATTCAACTGGAATGCTAGAATCAGTTGCAATTAATTTTAACATTTGTTCATTTGTTTGGAGAAAATAAGTCATAAGCTATTTTCAAATCCAAACAATGCTTGATTATATTGTGTTTATCGTCTGTTCCACTATTGTCACATTTGGACATTCAGTGTATTTTTAAAAGCAAAGCACCTCATGGTACTGGCTTGAACAGTCGTGTGCAAAAGTTTTGACACCCCTAGTCAAACTACATGTTTGGCTGATTTCCTTAGGGGAACTAAGTTAACACCTCCTCTGCAGGTAATATAACTATAAATATAAATATCATTTTTTTTTTTGACACATTTAGAGCACAATTTCTGTTTATTTGCTGAATTTAATGTCAAGAAATGCTGAGCGAAACATTCCATGACTTTTGCAGAGGCCACATGTTTTATTTGTTTCCAAATATGTTAGATTTAGCAAATAAACAGTAATTGTGCATTAGAATGTGCAGTTTGTTCCCTGCAGAGGATATGTCATCTCAACTTTTGCACACTGTAAATTCTGTACAAAGGGGTGCCATTAGCAGCTTTTGATGCTTCATGATCAATGCTTTGCCTCTGCATTTACAAGTCTGAATCCTATCAAAATAATTGAATCGAGAAATTTCCTGAAGAATCTTAATGAGATCAAGTCATTGTGGGGTTAAAGGGTGTTTCTCCACTGCTCATTCGAAAACAAGACCCAAACCAGAACCAACAGAATTTACCACCGTTTTTCACCTGCCTTAAATGACCAAAAGCACTCATTCTGTGGAGGCTACCATGAATGCTGCTGGCGTCAGCTTCCAACTAATTTATGTCACCTTAATCGAGTAGTAGACATGTCCACATACCAGTCCAGTTTGAATTCTAGTGCATTTATTGATCATACCTGTAATAATACCTGCTGACTTTATCTTCACTACATTGTTGTTGGCTTTTGCTGTAAGTGTTGTCAAACACAGAGTCGAACACCATCAAGTGCCACTAGATCCTGTTGGTACCAAACTTAAGCAGGTACAAAAAATCATGAAACTGGAACCAGTTCCAGTACTTTATACAGTGAAAAACACCCAAGAATTACCCCCTTGTTCTGTCTGTTAATCCGTTTGTATGTGTGTGTGTGTGTGCAGGCATCCCTCCAGCTAGTGGAACCGGTACTCTACAGATCCTCCTGCGGGACATTAATGATAATGCCCCGCAGGTGTTCCCTCAGGAGGCCGAAGTGTGTGAGAAACCGGACCCCAACGCCATCAACATCACCGCTCTGGACGGAGACCTGAACCCCAATGCCGGACCCTTCGCCTTTGAGCTCCCCCAGCGGCCACCTGATGTCCGAAGGAACTGGACCCTCACACGCCTTAATGGTCAGAGGACACACACACACACGCACACACACACAGAGTTATTAACTCTCAGCAGTAATATGAGCCATTTTCCATTTCAGTCTGATTTCTTAATTAACTACAGCAGAGCTTCACTGTGAAAAGTGGTCTTTCTAATGTAGCTCTGCTACATTAACTCTGTGGGCATTCCTGTGATACATATGCATAATATGACATGGACACTAGGCTTAATACAGAAACTTTCAAGCTAAATAGATGGAAAGATTGATGCATATATATATAAATATATATATATATATGTTATCATTTTGGAGATGGGGTTTTAATCCAACAGCAATGACATACATACATATGTAATTGGATGGCTAGATAGATAGATAGAGATAGATAGATAGATAGATAGATGCATACATACATAATGTAAATACATTCAGAATTGGACGGGTGAATGGATGGCTAAAGGGACAGATAGACAGATCGGTTGACAGACAGAAAGACAAATGAATGAATGAATAAATAAATAAATGGAGAGATGGTTGGACAGACAGATAGATAGAAAGAGCACCGTCTATCAGCTGCTGACAGCGCAACGTCACAGATTCATTCTTCATTAATACCTGATGTCTGATAGTGTAATTGATTACTGTAATTAGACAGAAGAGACGCTCAGACATGTGTCATGGTTTAGTGCTTGACGTTCCAGCACAGAGGAGCAGGAATGTGCAGGAATACATGTATAATAGGATCAGTGGCAGAAGGATTAGAGGAGAAGCTGTTTTATCCCTAAGCTGCATTATTGAGAGATATTCGGCGGATTAATAAGCTGCAAATCTAAATCCTGACTGCGCTCGAGCTTAGCTCTGCTGTAGAAGAGCCTCAGGTGAAAATCTGTCAGAGAGGGGAAAATGTCACGGGTCGATAATATTAATGACCGAGAAATCGCAGCCCGTGTTTTTAGGCACTGTACAGAGAGACGGAGTTTAAAGAAATGTTACTGTAATATCTAAGAGTGTGTGTGTGTGTGTGTGCGTGTGTGCGCGTGTGTGAGAGAATGTGTGTGTGTGTGTGTGTGTGTGTGCGTGTGTGCGTGTGTGTGAGAGAATGTGTGTGTGTGTGTATTGTAAGCACACAAACATTCATAACGAAAGAAGAAAGGGTGCTTTTGTGCACTTTGAACAGCTTCCGAATTCGTATTTGTCCAGTCTGTTTTCATCCATGGCTGGAAGCGTCTGTCTCGGGGCCTTTCTCTCCACTCTGGCCATCTGTCCTCCTCAGACTGGGACCAGCTTCACAAACAGCAGTGCAGCCTTGCTAAGTTGCTTTTGGAAGGCGAGGCCTGCAGTTTTTCTTTCTGTTTGAGTTCTTAGCCCTCGGCTCTCACTAATTAACATCTTTACTTAGACATTGAATATCGTACATTACATACATACATGACATGCAGTTAAACGTTCGGACACCTGAATGAATGCATGTTTTTAATAAGATTACAGACATTTGGAGCTAAAGGCATTGGCTGGTAGTGTACTCCAAATGAAAGCACCTCCCCCTGACTGTGATTGGTCCTATTCACTGCATCATTTGTTCTGAGACCTCCTTCTGACTGTGATTGGTCCTAATTATGCCATCATTTGTTTTTCTTAAGACCTCCCCCTGACTGTGATTGGTCCTAATTATGCCATCATTTGTTTTTCTTAAGACCTCCCCCTGACTGTGATTGGTCCTAATTATGCCATCATTTGTTTTTCTTAAGACCTCCCCCTGACTGTGATTGGTCCTAATTATGCCATCATTTGTTTTTTTTAAGACCTCCCCCTGACCGTGATTGGTCCTAATTATGCCATCATTTGTTTTTTTTAAGACCTCCCCCTGACCGTGATTGGTCCTAATTATGCCATCATTTGTTTTTTTAAGACCTCCCCCTGACTGTGATTGGTCCTAATTATTGCATCATTTGTTCTGAGACCTCCCCCTGTCTGTGATTGGCCATAATTAATACATCATTCATTCTCAGACCTCCCTCTGACTGTGATTGGCCCTAATAATCACATCATTTATTTTGAATCCTCCCCCTGACTGTGATTGGCCCTATCACTGCATGATTCATTCTGAGAAATCCCTCTGACTTTGATTGGTCCTAATAATCACATCATTTATTTTGAATCCTCCCCCTGACTGTGATTGGTCCTAATTATTGCATCGTTTGTTCTGAGACCTCCCCCGTCTGTGATTGGTCCTAATCATGCCTCATTTGTTCTGAGACCTCCCCCTGACTGTGATTGGTCCTAATCATCACGTCATTCATTCTGAGACCTCCCCCTGACTGTGATTGGTCCTAATCACCTTCCTTCATTCTGAGGCCTTTCCCTGATTGTGATTGGTCCTTAACGCTGCATAGTATGTTCTGAGATGGGTTGGGTTTAAGATGGGTTCAAGCTTTTGACTGGTATTGTGTCTGAGTCTAGTATGTAAACATGAACATCCCCTTTAGGGAAGGGAAAACTGGTACATTATCGATATCATGCTAAATCTTCTGGATTCGTAGTCTTTTAAATACGCCACTGCTGTTTCACTGGTGTATTTCAACTGACACAAGTTGTTTACAAACCTCAGAAAACACAAATATTGTGGAAACAAAGTATTGTGGTGACATTTTTATCAAATTGCCAAAACTCTAAGGGGAACTCCACCATTTTTGCTTAATTTTTAGGTAATTCAGTTGTAAACAAAGTCAGTCATCTACAACACAGATATAGCCATTTTGACTAGTGAACCTACAAGAG